TAAGTCCAACTGTCACAGGGTGGTCCTCAGGAAAAGGGGAGGTTCCAGATTTCCTGCCCCACCCAAAAGGAGGGTGGAGCTGAGCAGAGAGAGAAGAAGCTGCAGAGGAGACTGAGGAAGGAAGGAAGCAGGATGGAGAGCCAGAGGGAGACCTGGAGGAGGCACATGGAGCAGAGAGACATGTGAAGAAACTACACTTGACTTTTGGTCGTGGACTGGGTGACACAGATGTGGGTGAGAGACCCATGGGAGGTGACAATGGCGGTTTTTGTCCTGATTTTGATTTTGTTCTTTTCCTCCCAGACTTGTCTAGTTGTTTCTGACCCTTTCCTGTGGGTCCCCACTGGAAGATGATTTAGACTTGTGACAGGCTTTGGGGACTTGTTCTGGGCCAATCCTGCGTGGGTGAACTTTTACCCATGAGAGGACGGGTAACTTTGGGTGCTTGGTTTAGAAACTGTATTCTTTGCCTTTCCTTGTATTGTTTCCTAATTGTGTTAAAGTTCCTTCCCATTAAAGTCGCATATGTTTTGTGTTGATGCAGCAGATGGCAGAACCTATCTAGAGCAGGTAGGTTTGCGGGGTCTGGGATGCCCCTCTCCCTGCCCTGCAACACAACAACTGAGGTTCTCAATTAACATTGACTGAGAGTTGTTGAGTGAAGGTGAATGAATGAATGAATAAATGCTGGCTTATACCAGCCACTCCAACTTGCTCCATTTCATCCCCCTATCAGAACGTGTGAGTATGTCATGGAGACACAACTCGAGTAAGTGTGCATCTGAACAGAAATTTCACATTTTGAAAAACTCTTGCTATTTCCTGGAAACAGATTGTGTCTCTCTGATTGTCTGTTAAATTTTTTTAAACTGCTGAAGATCTTGGAACCAAACCAAAGTCATCTGCATTTCCATTTTTATATCTTGATTTATAAACTGCACCTTATAATTTACAAGCACTCACTTACTTAGTGTCTGTAACAGAGCCGAAACAAATACATACCCTGCCAGCTATGCTACCCAAGTCTTCTTGCTGTACTCTTTTCTCAGAAACTTTCTAGTTTGGAGAGGATAAGCTGGAGCCTGCGCTAGCTTGGGGAGGATATAGATAGTAATAATAAAAATGTGTCATATTTACTTAGGGAAGAGAGAGCCAGGGCTCATTACCCCCCTTTTGTAGATGAAAAAATAGAAGTTGGGGATGGAGATTCCCCAGCCAAAAGGGTTTGCTTGTGAGTGGTGAAGTCAGAATCTGCATTTATGGAGTTCTTCATGCAAGCACTTAGTCCAGAACCTCTACACTTCAGCACCAGTGACATTTGGGCTGGGTGATTCTTAGGTATGTATTGTGGTATATTTAGCAGTATCCCTAGATTCTACCCATTAGCTGCCAGTAATACCCATCCTCCTATGGCAACCCCAAGTGTCTCCAGATATTGCCAAGTGAGACCCACTTGGGCCCTTATCCTTGATTAAAATAGCAGCACAATGGTTAGGAAAGTTCATCTCCTTCTATAGCACCTCCCTTTTCCCAACCCCCCCACTTCCTTCCAACCCCAGGGTGTAGCTTAGAATGGATCTCTGAACAAATACAGCTCTCCCTCCACATAAAATAGGATTCCATCCCGATAAACTCATTGTTAGCTGAAAATATTATAAGTTGAAAATATTGACTGGGAGCTGTGGCTCACTGAGGCTGCCCAGCATCACCAAGAGTACCTTACCTTGGTTTCTATTCCATAGTTTTCGCTTTTACACCACTGTAAAGTCAAAAAATTGTTAGCAGGACTGTTATAAGTTGTAACCACCTGTATGCAGTACCCCCTGAATGGCATTGGGTGTTATATAATCTCTCTCATATTTATTAACCTCAAAGGTTGATAATAGTGTTGCGTATTCTACATATGAGGAAACCAATGTTTCAAGAGGTCACTGGGGCACAGTAAGTGGCTGGCTGAGATGCTAACCCAAACCTGTCATTTTCTAGGGGTAGAGTTTTCCTTCTGACCCTTCTTCATTCCAACTCAGCTGAGAACCAGATTTTCTTTTTCTGGGGTAGCAGGAAAGGTAACTAGAAAAGCCTTGTTCACCTCTATGTAAAGCTGCCCAATTTGATCTCAATTTTTTGGGTTACACAAAACTTATCTAAACTTTCCTTTAAGACTTGTTTTTGAAGAAGTGGCCCTGGACTTGACTCTTGGCCCAGCTCCTGCATGACTGTAAATGGGACTTGTTTGACCAATGCATGTGGGGATGGGGGGAGGTAAGGGAAACTCATCCTGCATCTGCAATGATCAGAGTGCAGAGCTACCGTCTTCAAGACAGCAGCTACTCGAGGGAGCAGTGGGCTTACTTGTGATTGATGAGATTTTGCCAAGTCTGAGAACACCCTCATTCTGCCACCGCCCCCCCTTCTCTCTACCTCACTTCTGTAAGCCCCTTTCCTCTCCAGGCCTGGAAGGCAGAGTTGAGGTTTTCCCCTTGTCTCCTCACCAATCGACCACGCAAAGCTGGCATCATGGTATTGGTCCTATACACTTTGGAAGCAAACCCGTTGCTCAATAACACTTTCAGGTGGACCCATGACCCGTGATTATCCTCCCCAAACTGTGTTCTGTGTCCTCAACACCGGGCTTTGCTGATTAAAATGTTTGTGAAATGAATGACAACAGAGCAGGCTAACCATAGCAACCCCTTCTGGGGTAGGGTCCTCCTGACTGTGTTGTGTGAACTTTGGCAAGAGAAAAATGTCTCAGCTCAATTTTCTCATCTATATGATGGGAAGACCCACTTCTTGGGGGTAGATGTGAGAATTAAGTAAGTATAGATTGGTTCACATTGAACCAGGTGCTGAATAAATAGTGACCTGCAATGAACAGCCAATGCCCTCCATGAGGTCAAATGCAACAACTTGCTTTCAATGTCCTGGAGCTCTTTCGGTTAGCCCATGACCCCATGCAGCCTTGGGCCAGCTGCCTAGCTCGACTTCAAGCTCCCTGCGGACAGTGCCTGGGCCTCCCACAGTGGTCAGCCTGGTTTGCGCTCAAAATGGTTACTGAAGAAGCAACAGCATTGATTCCTGGGGACTAACCATTTGCTTTGGGTGCAGCTGAGCTTATGAAATGGTTTTCCTTCTTTAGTAACCTGGTGATAGTGCTCTGGATTCCCCACTCTGAGTAGTTTGGACTATTAACCATTATTTTGGTCCTGCTTTGGTTATATTCCTCGCTCTCCCCAGTTTACACAGCCGGTGGTAAAAGTCAAGCTCAGTGTATTGAATGGGTAGAGCAGAAGAATTCAGGAGCACTTGACCCCAACTTCCCTCTCAGGTTCCAACCCCACCCCAGCCTTTTCCTAGCAGATCACCAGCCAGTTGTGATGCTCTCCATGCCTCAGTATCCTCATCGGTAAATTGATAAATTATTAATAGGGCCTGCCTCAAAGGGTTAGAAGATTAAATGTAGCTGCCAGAGAGTGTACCACACCCTCAATCTCTAGTAACAATTATCCCTGTCCTTTAATTGGAGCGGGTGGGGTGGCAGTGGGCATGCTGAGTGTGGAAAACTTTCCAGAATTTTTAGCACTATAGCAAGCTGCTGGCAGCCCCCTTCACCCTCGCTCCTCAGTAAGGGTCACACAGCTGTGGTCACTTTCCTTTTTTGTATTCCCTCTGTGGAGGATGGTAGGTACCTTTGTAACTGGGTGGTCCCCAGGAGAGGGGGAGGTTCCAGAATTCCTGCCCCACCCAAGGGAGGGTGGAGCTGAGCAGGGAGAGAAGAGGCTGCAGAGGAGACTGAGGAAGGAAGGAAGCAGGATGGAGCCAGAAGGAGACCTGGAGGAGGCACATGGGGCCGAGAGACACATGAAGAAACTATCCTTGCCTTTTGGTCGTGGACTGGGTGACACAGATGTGGGTGAGAGACACGTGGGGAGGTGACAAGGTGGTTTTTGTCTTGATTTTGATTTTGCTCTTTTCCTCCCAGACTTGTCTGGTTGTTTCTGACCCTTTTCTGTGGGTCCCCGCTGGAAGGTGCGGGGACTTGTGCCAGGCTTTGGGGCCTTGCTCCGGGCCAATCCTGCTTTTGGGTGGACTTTTCCCCACGAGGGGATGGGTACCTTTGGGTGCTTGATTTAGAAACTATATTCTTTGCCTTTTCTGTATTGTTTCCTAATTGCATTAAAATTCCTTCCCATTAAAGTCTCATATGTTTTGTGTTGATGCAGCATATGGCAGAACCTATTTAGAGCAGGCAGGTTTGGGGGGTTCTGGGCTGCCCCTCTCCCTGCCCTGTAACACCTTCAGTAACCCCAGGATGCCGTAGGACGGATACCAGGCCCCACTGACCCCACCATCCTGCCAAACTCACCACAGCATTCAGTTCAGGTTTTTCTCTTAAAAATAAAGCTGCATATAAGCTCTATCTCCAAAGCGCCCAGGTCAAAGTCTCCCTATTCAGCAATCAAGCCAATTCCTCCAGCCCTACTTTTTTTTTGGAGAGGTGGTGGGTGTGGGGGGAGACGGGATGTCAACTTTTGGCCCCATGAAAGGAGCCTAGTGCTTCCCCCAATTCCATTGCACTGACCGAAGGACTGCGGGCGCCTGACCCCCAGGCGCCTCCAGGCCCGGGGTGGGGATGGAGGGTGTCTGGTCCAGGCCGGCCCCTCCCCCAAGGTCACCTAACTTCCCTCTTCGGCAGCTCCCGGGGAGGGTCCCCGGGGTCGCGTCCCAGCCCCAGGGCAGGGTGGGGCGCACGCGGGGCGGTGCCAGGCCCCTCCGTCTCGGGGCGGGCGGCCGCCCCGTTTCTCCATTGGCCGGAGCGGGCTGCGGGCGCGAGCGCTGATGTCAGGCGGGCGCTAGAGCCGCGGGCGCAGCGCGGCGGCCGCCCAGCAGCCGGGCCGGGGTGGGGGGGCGCCGAGTGGGGGTGGCGGCCAGCATGCTGCTGGGCTGCGGCTCGGCCTCCCACACCCGCGGCGCCCTCGTCCTCGCCAGCAGCGGCGGAGCAGCGAGCGGCGCGCGCCTCTGCAGCCGCACCGGGTCCGAGCGCGCGGCGCGGCGGCGGGGTCCGGGGGCCGGGCGGGGACCGGGGGCCCGGCATGGCGCTGCGGAGGGGCGGCGGCGGCCGCGGGGCGCTGGGGTGGCTGTTGCTGCTGCTGAGCGCCGCGTGCCTGGTCCCGCCGGGCGCGCAGGTGAGGCGCCTGGCGCGCTGCCCCGCCACTTGCAGCTGTACCAAGGAGTCCATCATCTGCGTGGGCTCCTCCTGGGTGCCCAGGATCGTGCCCGGCGACATCAGCTCCCTGTGAGTGAGTGGGACCCTCTGAACCCCCGCCCCGCCCCACCCCGCGCCGGCCGCCGCCGGGGAGTTGCTCCGGTGCTGGGACAGCGCGACCCCGGCTGCACCCCCCCCGGTCCCTTTCTGTGCGTTCGGGTGGGGGGCGCGCCGCGCGAGGTGCAGGGAGTCTCGGCCGGAGGGAGGGTGGAAGGCGGCCGAGATCCAGCGCCCGGGGATCCAGGCAAGTCTCTGTGGCCGTGTTTCCCCAAGTGTGGCCCGCGGGCCAGCTGCACCAGCCCCCCCTGGGGGCGCCTGTGCCAATACAGATTCCAGGGCCGGTGCTGAAGCTGGGTCTCCGGAGTGGAGACTCGGAGTCTGCATTTGGCAACTCCAGGTGATTCTGGGGTGCATTAAAGTTTGGAAGGATATGTGTTTGTGTGTGCAGGGGGAAGGTGGGCAGGGCGTTGTTAGGAGACTTGAATATGCAGAGACCCTGACTGGACTGAGTTGCAACTAGGAAGGGGTGAGGCCTCACTGTCCCACCTCAGCTCTCTGCTGTGATTTACACTGTGGTCTCCTGCCCATCTCTCCACCATGCAGGTCTGAAGAACCAGGGTGAAGGCATTCAGCCTCTGAAAGTGGGGGAGGGCACCCATGTGACCTGGAGAAGGGGAGCAGGAGGGCTCGGAGGAGGAGCTGGGGCATGTGGGGTACCCCGCCCAGTGGCCAGTGCTGGAAGTCAGCCTGACTTCTTGTCCCAAGTTGACAAGGGGTCTTGCCCCCTCTCCTCACCACTCATCGTGTTGGCATCTTTTTCAGCGCTGGAGGAACTGACAGGAAAGGGCTCCACTTTATTCACCTGCTAAGAGCTGCTTTCAGCCTGCCCTCACACAGCCACTCAGTCACATGACCAGCTCTCGTAATGGCTGTGGAAGGGGCTCTCCGGTCAGAGCTTTCCTGCTGGGAAATATTTTCTGCTGAACCCACTCCCTCTTCCAGATGCAATCACAGAGGCAGGAAGTTCCTGCTGGTGAAGTTGCTGGTGCGCTGGGCACTTTGTGTTGTGCTTCACTCCCTGGCCTCTGAGTCCAGGCCAGACACAGGCAGGGGCTCCTGTTTGCATTTCTAGAAAGTCCAGAGTCTAGCAGTGCCTTTTTGATTCTTAATATTGCTAAGTCAGGTGACAAGGAGGGTTCTAGAAATTAGAATTCCCTTGCTAAATCCTTTAGATCAGCAGCTGCTTCATTGATCTGCATGTTAACTAAAAGAATTTTGAAGTCAGAGATCCTGCAGGGGACTGAAATGATAGGGGACCAGGTGGCAAAACCAGAGCCCCCTTCTTGCCCGGTGCTGACCCCTGAGTGTGACAGATGGCATTGCCTGCACTACACATTCAAGTTCAGGTGTCTTTGAGTTTTTCCCCCAAGGCTTTCATGGTGCATTTCATCAGATGGGCTCTACGTGACTTTCAGAGATGTGCTCCTGAGGGGATGCTCCATCCTACCCTGGAGTTTCATGGGCCAACAGTAACCCTGTGTCTGTACCAACAGAGTCATGGGCAGAGGTAAAGCAATTATCCAGGTCCAGCCAGGTCTCCTATAGGTAAGAAAAAGAAGCCGGGGATTGATCTGAACTGGCTGAGATCACGTCTGTGAAGGAGCCTGGCTGGTGGGAAAGGTTTCTAACTGTCCAGACTAGTTTTCACATTGATCCGGCTCATTTCAAAAAGGGCCTGACTCTCCCAGTTTCTCCTGAGAAGCCCCCGGCCAGCAGTTTTAAGTCTCACTCCTGAGTGGAGGAGTTTAGAATACAGGGGCAGAGCCAGAGGGTTTGGCCATCCTGCCCGGCACTTCAGAAAGAAACCCGGGCCTTGTGTCCTTCCTCTTTTGCCTGTAGGAGCCTGGTAAATGGAACATTCTCGGAAATCAAGGACCGAATGTTTTCCCACCTGCCTTCCCTGCAGCTGCTGTGAGTATGGAAGTTCTCTCTGAAAACGGGTGTCGTGGGAAGAGTGATCCCACTTCTCAGCTCTCAGCCCTCCCTCAGCCTGAGCTCAGGAGTAAGCTTGGTAGCTCTTGGTATCATTGGGCCTGTGGCGTCCCCACCAAGCTGAGTCCTAGCACTCATTGCACCGTTTATTGTAGATCCCAATGCCCAGCTCCAGTGATCAGGGACACGATGGCGTTGAATTATGGCCGGAACGTTACCTAATTGAACTATTTCCCAAAATACCTCACTTTAAACTCTAAGTTACTCTGGAAATAAAAGTATTTCTAGTTCGTTAAATGTGTAAACTGTGGGGCAGCTTATTTGGCATTTAAACATATAATTTTATTTCATCATCATCCCTACAAGAAAGGTATTTTTATTTCCCCATTTGTCAGATGAGAAAACTGAGACTCAGAAAAGTTAAACAACTTGCTTCAAATAGCTGTGAGAATTCCAACCCACACTGTAACCTCTCTTCTTCCAGCCACTCTGAGCCATGCCCAGTGGTGCCCCTTAGCCCAGGGCAGTGAATGTTTGCTAATGAAAAGAAATGCCCAAGAAGCAGTTTTCAAAAGCACATTAATGACAGGCATTCTCAGGAATATATAGCTCATTTTCTTTCTCTGTATTGATTTTTTAAATTTCCCATAAGATGGACATTAAGCAGGCAACAGAATACAGAAAACCAAGGGGAAATCATTCTAAATAAATTTGATATTTTTTTCTTAAGATGTCGTGTACCTACTCATGAGTTCATATTACCCTTTTAAAATGTGAAATTCTTCAAGACTGTCCTTCTTTTAAAACATAGTTTCCATAGGATCCTACTATAATTCTGCGTGTTTTACCAAATAAACTTAACTGGTCACTATATAAACTATATGAACTTTTATCGAATAGACTTAAATGGTGACACATATAAAAACGTGGAGAATCTTCTGAAGGTTTCTTAAATTTTTTTCCTATCTCCTGGGAATGAATATAATATATTTTTTTTTTGTCACTGTGTGTGACTGTGGTCAAGTCACTTAGCTACTTTGGGTTCAGATTTTTCTGAAGGAAGAGTTGGAATTGATCCTTTGAGATGTCTAATTCTGTGATTCCATGTGTATGATAGTGCATTCATTGGCTATTTAATTTTGCTGGGCATTCAGATATTTTGAAATAACAGCTACCAGGTCATATTCACCAAGATCCACAGGGGAGAAAGGGAGGGGGAAGGAGGGTGCCCACAAAAGCTGGCCAAAGGGAAGCAATTTACTTGACAGTGTGCACCAGCACCTGTGTGTGGGGTTACACACCTCATAGTCAGCCTCAGGCTGAGAAGAACCCGTGACTGCCCACAGCCCAGAACACAGCTGACGAAACAAAGATGGCGTCACCACTTACAGATTTGATACCTTTCCACTGAAATCTGTGCTTTGTTTCCAGATTGCTGAATTCTAACTCCTTTACAGTCATCCGGGATGATGCTTTTGCTGGACTTTTTCATCTTGAATACCTGTGAGTTTTGTGCGTTGTCTCTGTGCTGAGGGTTAGGTGTGCCAGGGGAATTGCTGGCCTGCCTTCCAAGCCAGAGCAGCATCCTCTAGCAAGCTGAGGGGTGGAGAGAATAGAGAAAATCCTATTCTCTTTAGCTCTGACCTTTTTGAGTTGACTTGCATATAAACATGCTGGGACAGGAGGAGGTTGGGGACAAAGAGGGGGAAAGGAAACAAAGAAGGAAAGATATTCATTCTCTGCTGACATTTAATTTGTCACGTAGTAAGCACAATTGGAAATTGCCTTGGATATTTTTACCTCTCATAAGTGCGTGGATTTGCTGATCAGCCAGAAGGAGAGCTGCAGGATTCTGAGGGTTACTTATTTTTAAATAAAGTCATTCCGTTTCGGGCCACAACTTTGTTTTTAATTCAGGAAGTCCTGCACTGAGGGTTCTCTTGTATTTCTTCTCCCTCAGGAAAAAAGTTTATTTCCCCCTTTTCAGATGTGCAGTGCTTTTCCCCAGCAACAGTCTTCGCCTGATTTCTATCCTTTCCCATTTTCAAATCATCTTTTTTCCTCTGGAGTTCTTTCACCTTTGTCTTCTGTCACTTTCTAATAATAATCGTCATGCTGTCCAATAGGAATTCCTTACTTAGCATCCAGAGGAATTTTAAAACCTTATCTCTGCTTTCCTTTCTGAGGTTAACAGGTGGATGTTTGGATTCTAAGCCCATTCTGGTCTCAGAAAGCTTTCAACTGACTTTATGTCCCTAGGGAAGCTGTCTCTGCAGGGTTCTTTCTCCAAAGAACACATGAAATATATACTTTGTAGGCAGGTAGTGCACAGACTATGGGAAGAGCGAGTTCTCCCAGGTGATAACTCTGATGGGAGCCTTTCAAAGCAGCATAAACAGCTGATGGAGGATCTCCCTGGTGGAGCAAGGGGTTAAGTGTCAGCACTTTCAAGCTATCAACAGCCACTACACCATGAGTTCAATCACCAGCCAGGGAGCTACCCACATGATGCAGCAGACCTCTCCTGTCTCACCCGCTGCTCCCCTCAGCAGTGTTGTTTCAGTGGATCTGCCTGTTCTGCTCCCCACTCCATTTTTGGTGAATACTCTCACCACCACCCCCCACCTCTCGCCTACATCCCAGTTCTTGTATGCATAAGTAAATAAATAAAAATAAATCTTTAAAAAAAACAGCTGATGGATGTGGGCAAAGTAAAGCTACTGGCTTTCTCTTGGTCACTGTTCATCTTACGCTCAAGGTTATTGAGGACGAAGTTCTCACCAGTTTATAGATAATCCTATCAGTTTATCATCACAGTATAGATCCAGAAACCTATTACTATCAGACCCCTGATTTTTATAAGACAAGCATCGTCGAGTTTTCAATGCAACAATGAATGAAAGCCATCGCCTTGCGAAGCTCATTAAAGAACACACTTTCCTTTGATATAATTTGATGCTATAAACTAAAATTTAGTTTTCTGTAATCCTAGAGTATAATCCCAGTGCATTCCCTTCATCTGTTTTCCACAGTCAACTACGCATGGCCAGAGTTGCTATTGCAAGGTCCTGTGTGCAAACCTCAAGACATTTTAGCACAAAGAAAGACGTTTGGCCCATAATTAACTTCACTGTCCTCCCTAGCCCTAGCGGCGTGGAGATCTTAAAGATAGGGGCGCTTGTCACCCATCTGTTGAGGGATTAGGCTGTGTAGGACACGATGAACTCAAGTGTGCTGGAAGGCAAAGCTAAATGGAACTCTCCTTCAGCAAAAACTTTAATACGGAGATAAAACAAAGGGCTCCCTCGAGGGACAACGATATTAGCAAAAGTATTAATAACCAGGCACTGTGAAATGTAAAAAGGTCTGAGGGGGAAATGTTTGGAAGGATTCCAGAGGTGCGAGGATTTCTTGCCTTTGATTTAGCGCTTTCTTCTCCCTCCACCCACTCCACCCGCACCGCCCCCAAGATGCTTTTACCCAGGTAGCCAACTCTGAATTTGAAGTCTCCCAGGCTGCTTTGGGAATGCAGAGCATACCGTTGTGGGCATGTGTTTGCTCACACACGCTCTCCCATGGGGAATCTGGCATCGCTGACCTCATCTCAGAGATGTATTTTACATTTAAATGTTTCTATATTTTATTCCAAAAGCATCCCAGTATCACCATATTCTACAGATACCAAGCAAAGAAAATTCGATTTTATGATCCTGCTGTTCTTCTTAGGTTCATCGAAGGGAACAAAATAGAAACCATCTCAAGAAATGCCTTCCGTGGCCTCCGTGACCTGACGCACCTGTAAGTCCTGTGAAGTGTTCAGTCTTTTCATGTATAGAGTGAGGCTCTCCCCAGGCGTCCCTTTTCTCCTTGATGGTTTGTCCTTAAGGCAATGTGCTCTAAAGGAAAGCAACTTCCAGGTGGCCCAAGAGGCATCTCTATGCTATGGATCAGACCCTTGTCCATTGTGCCACACATATGTGTTGCTTAACAATGGGCTGTGTCTGGGAAGTGTGTCATGGGGTGATTTCCTTGCTGTGTGCAGGTAATGAGTGTGCTCACACAGACCTGGGTGGGAGAGCCTGCTGCCAGCATGAATGGCACAGCCTAATGGGACTGTTCCTGTTGACTGAAGTGTCACGCATAAACTTGGCTTTATTTATCTTTTCCATTGTCCTGAATTGTGTATGGACCTCAACTGTCTATGAAGAATAGAACACTCTGAGCTTTGGGGTGTGGGGGTGGGATGAAGGATGCTATAGGGATAGTATAACCTAATGTATGCCAGGCACAGGCACAGGCTTACAGAACACTATCTTTCTCAAAAATCTGAGAGTCCCCATTTTACAGATTTGGGAACTGAGGCTTACATGATCCCTTAAAGAATGTTGAAGGCAGGATCAGGATGAAGTAGAATAGAGACATTTTTGTGGTTCCTCTAATTTGAATGCAAATAGCTTTTTCTTTTATGTTGGATTAATGTACGGATTAAGCTAAGCTCTCTGGGTTCTTTAATAGCTTTCTGGAGGAAAAAAATTAAACAAATTGATTTGAATTGGCATATCAGAATGAAGCAAGTACACACACTTAGCAAATTTAGAAAACTGGAAAAGCTGTTGGCTGTGTTTATGAAAATGTGAAGAGAGTCATTGTTTTGGTAGGAACAGTTTTATTAGCCAGGAACCAGGTCCCATTTGCATGATAGATATTTTGCATTTGAGTGAGATAAACATGTCTCATCTCTACTGTCAGTCTGTCTGCAGCAAAGGGAAAATTGGAGGGCTTTGAAAGGAGGTATTGGGCAGGCGAGCTAGTACCTTCAGCAATAGCACCTCAGAGATTCACATCAAGCCCCAATGCAGGCAGAGTTGTTTGCCAGAAAGCTCAGTGAGCACTTGATTCTGGAATCCTCCATGCAGAAGCTTTGTATGAGTTAAAATTTGTAAAGTAAGGAGACAGGGAACAGAAAGGGCAGGTCCATACATTTGGATCGCACTGTCGTCTCTGGAAAGTGTCAGATGCTTGTTGGTGTTATTACTCCAGGTTTTCCTTTCTTCCTTTGGAAATCTTGATGAATGTTTACATTTTTCAGATAGAGTCAAATCCCCAGATTCTAATAGAGACAAGAATAAGGGCTTGGATTCAAATCTCAGGGCCATCATTTATTATTATTATTTAGCCTATTTGAACCTCAGTTTCCTCATCCTTAAGATGGGGATATCAAGGTGGGGAGATGGTCAGAGGTTTGCTACCCATTGAGTGTTCATGCTGCCTTGCAAAAGCATCCAGCCCATTCCAGGTGTGGCTGGTGCTTTATTGTCATCACCACCATCAGCAGTAGCATCTACATCATGCCCTCCCTCCACTCACGAAAGGTTTGTTTTCTCCATGGACTGTTGAGTAGCTTTTGCAGTTTGGGTGGCCCGAAAGGGTCTGCGAAGAAGACAGCTGTGTGTGCCTGGAGAGGAACAGCTGTGCCCAGATCAATTCACTTCCCAGAGTCAGGAATAAGGGGCTTTATGTCTGAGCAAAGGCTCTGGGCAGAGACCATACCTAACTCAAATTCCTTGTGATTGAGTTAGCCCAGATGGCTACTTTCCTTTAGCCCATTAGCTCTGGGTGCCAGGTGGGCAGCGGGTGTGAGTATGTGTATTTGCGTATCTTTATATGTGTGTCCCCATGAGTGCATACTTGTGTGTCCATGGCTGTGTTTGTGTGTGCATGCTTGCACAGTTACACATACAACCATACGTGTATAGCATGTGTGCCCGTGTGTAAGAGGCAACTCATTTTCCATGTGACATGCAGAGAGCACGAACAGAGGGAACAACAGAGTCCCTACTTGAGTCCAGGGAGCATTCGATGCTTTTGAGGTGATCTGGGCTCTCCCAGTGTGTGTGACCACTCTCTACTCCAGCCCACAGGGCCCCCTCTCCCCAAAATGCCTTATTTCCCTCAGTGTTCTAGGAGCCCTAGGCTCTCCGGGACCCCATGCATACCCAGCTCACCCCTTACCAGATTTTTCCCTCGTGCCTTTTTTCTTGAAGGCGATGCTCCTTCTTCTGCTCATGATTTCCTGAAGTTTGCCTTTTTCTTCAGAGTGCAGATTAAGTTCTCTCTCCCCCACAAGGAGCCATTCCTGATTTCCCTTTTACTCTCCTTGCACCTCCTTAACTGTTGGCTCTCCCAGCATGCAGCGCATACTGACTGGCCAGACCCTGGGTTCCTCACTGGGCTAGATTTTCCATGTTTACTTTGAGCAAAGTCACGTGACTTTTAAAGTTGGTTCCTCCAGGCTGGAGCTGTCTGCAGTAATTAAAGCATACTATATATTGTTTAAAGAATGAGCCCTTGCTCCCAGCTCCTCACTTTCACTTATAAACTAAGTAGGAGAACACATCCATTCTCTAAAGTTCTCTCCCTGTGCCTAAGAAAGTCACTGTCTGGAATGTGCTTGTTTAAATTAAGCATCTGACTTTTTTTTTGAAGTGACATTGCATTATAACATTATGTAAGTTTCAGGTGTTCATCTGGCAAGTCAACATATGTATACACTAAATTAAGTTCATTACTGAAATTCTAATTCTGTCCTTCACCATATCTTGTTCCTTTTATCCTGGTTTGCTCACCCCTCTCTCTCCTTCCCTCTGGTAACCACTAATTGGCCTTATAGCCCAAACGTTTATTTTTTTGTTGTTTAGTTCATCTGTTTGTTTGTTTTCTCTATATACCACAAGTAAGTGAAATCGTTCAGTGTTTGTCTTTCTTTGGTTTATTTCATTAGGCATAATTCCCTCTAGGACCATCCATGTTATTGTAAGTGGCAGGAAATCGCCTGTATTATTTTTTTTTTTTTAATAGCTAATCGTATCCCACTGTGTACATGCCACCTCTTCCTAATCCGTTCATCAACCCATGGAGACCTAGGTCGTTTCCAGTTGCTGGAAGTGTGAACAGTGCTGTTCAGTTGGAAATAGTGCTGCAATGAACACGGGGGTGCATATCTCTCCAAATTAGTGTTTTGTGTTGTATCTTGGTAAATGACCAGAAGTGGGATAACTGGATCATCTGGAATTTCTGTGTTATGGGTAGTATCCAAAAGATAAATAACAAAAAATATTAGAATACTGGAGAGGATGTGGAGAGAAGGGAACCCTCACATACTGTTGGCGGGACTGTAAATTGGTACAGCCATAATGGAAAGTAGTGTGGCGGAAACTCAAAAATCAGGTTTCTGATTTTTATATTTTATGAGCTTTTCCAACCACTAAAGTCTCACGTTTCTACGTCAAGAGACATAGATCAGGTTTCAAGGCACAAAGGCTCAGAGCCAATGTGTAACTAAAATCTAGGATGCCTGTTTCCAGCAGTCCTGCCAGAGGGCAGGTTGCTATTAAGTAGTTTTAGAAATGAAGTAAGTGCCGTGAATTTGTAAATAAAATGAAGTGGAGTGTGAGATGTTTAGTACTCTGAGTGGGATGGATCGTCCATCTACATAATTCGGCTCTCTGAAATCTAAGTGGAACTCTTGAAACAGTTGTTAGACATTTTGGGACCTTGACGGATCTGTTTGTTCTTAACTCTTTTGTAACAGACATTTCAATGAGCTAAAAAAAATTTAGTGAAATAATTCACCTTTAACTAGTTAAAAAAAATTTTTTTTTTTTACTTTCTGGAATAAGTGACCATCGACCAGAAAAAAAAATCAACACAAACACATTTTTTAACTTCAGAGCCTTTAACTCCAGAGCCTTTGCTCAGACATAAAGCCCCTCATTCCTGACTCTGGGAAGTCACTGCTAGAGTTTAGTCAATCTGATGACAGTTTTAGCCTCTTTTCCAACATCTTTTAAAATGTGCAAATAAATCATTTAGAAAAGAAAGTAGGATAATACACAAAATTGTATTTTCATCAGTTTGTGGCTACCAATGGGAAGAGATGGAATTTCAGAAATTATAGGTCTCCCATTTTCTGTTGGTTTCTTGAAGCAAGAATGTTTCAACTGGGCTCAAAGTTTTCTAATTCTGCTGATTCTAAAGGGGAGTACCCATATCTTTCATTCATCTTTCTGGGATGGGTCAGTATGATGTTGCCAAAGGCTAATTTCACTTATATTTTTAAAGAGGCTGGCACTGGATTGCCTATGTGTTTGTCATTTCTATGTCTAGCTATTTGTAGTCATATGTATAAAAGAAACCAAAATAGGCATCAGCATCTCAGCTGACTCTCATTATGGAATATGACATTTGGGGGAGTCACAGCCTTCACCTGCCTCGTTCCAACACCAGCATCTTCCACGTCAGCAGCCTGCATCATGGACATCTGTCTGCAGGACCACAACAGGGCAATGCAAAATCTGAGTCATCAGAGAAAGACTTGAGAGTCTTCATTCAAGTTACTTCTTGGTGGTTCGGAGTAGACAATTTAGAGAGATCTTCAACACTAAGAACAAAAATTCAAAATGGGTCTGGTCAACCTTTAGATAATGAGAAGACAAAACTCATCATGATCACTCGTGCCCTAGACTGTGTGATGAGTGGAGATTGTATGTTATCATTGGGCTAGAGCTGAGGATCTTCATTGAGTCTACTCTTGGAGTCAACAGTCATAGGATTCCCTTAGATGGACCTTGAGGGCATTTCGTGGGGCAAGACTGTGCATCCTTATTATTTTTGTTCTAGGAATTAAGGATTCAGACATGGACAAACAGATACAATTTCTGTCCCCATGTGACTTATGTGTAAGGAGAATGCAGACGGTCAGCAAGTAGATAAGTCTCAGCACCAAGTAGATCATCAACATAGATTGTATGCTCAGTGCCCGTTGTGTAGTGAAGAATGATGAACAGGGAAGGGAGCTGTGTAGAGGCCATGGGCGGGGATGGTGGTGATAGTGGACGGCAGACTTCAAGGATGTAATGGAGTGTGCCAGGTGGGTATTTGGGGGAAGAACTTTCCAGCTGGATGAACAGCAAATTCTGAGGCTTTGAGCTGGGGGTTATGCCACATCTGTTTGAGGAACAGCAAAGTGTGGGTGATCTCAGAAGCTGCAATCAGGTCCCCTAGGTAAGTGGCAATGGGGGAAATGAGACCCTGGAGGGTCTTGCCTGCATCAATGGGAGGTTGGCTTTTCTTCTGAGATGTGGTGCCATCTGAGGTTTGACAAATCGAGATAAAGAGCTTACTATGCGCTTGTTTAAAAACAAAGCAAAAAAAAAACAAAACACTACCATGGAACTCCAGCACCTCTAATCTAATGTTCATAATATCTTTATATAACTAAACGCATTTCTTTATCTCACCATTAGTGACCAAAACCAGAAATTGAACTGTGTGGTGCTGAAGAGGTTTAGAGTTCTGTTTTAAATCATTAGCTTTATTTAAGGGTCTTCAGGATAACAGGGCATGGAGATAATAACCACATTAAGATGTGACTTTCTTGTTCTAGTTCTCTGGCCAATAACCACATAAAAGCACTCCCGAGGGATGTCTTCAGTGATTTAGACTCCCTGATTGAACTGTAAGTAATGAAAATTAAGTGTATGTGTGCTTGTCATTGTGCCCCAGTTAATTGTGCCTTTATGTCCCCTCTCCTTCTTTATGGCATTTTTTTTATGTTGGAGCTAAAAATCTATGACCAAAAAACAGGGAAACAGCAGATAGTCTGTATTGTGTTGGAATTTGCCATTTTAGAATGGCATACAGCATGAATGCTACTGAGTGTGTCCATCTACTTAAGCTTCTCACGTTTGCACTTCTTACTGGAGGTAGTTTAATGAGATTGTCAAGGTCAGTGGTGTTTGTGAAAACTGCCTTCCTCGAATGTCCCATTTTTGCTCTGAGAACCTGTGTTGGGTGGCGTCCTTCTGGCGTCCCTCCCCCATTAGCAGCATGACTTGGTGACAGTTTCAAGAGGGCTTGGAGAGATGGTGCCGTGTCATCTTTGAGAACTCTATGTCACATACTTGATATCATGGGCAATGAAGACTGTTAAATAAACTGGTAATACATACAAGATGCAAAATGTATTAAATATAAATATTTTGAAAAATTCCACTTGGAGGTTATTAAATATATCAAGATGTTAATAGAGCTTGAGTTTCCTATTATTGCAGAAACATGTCAGACATGTCTGTTTCTCTGTGTATGTGTGTTTTGTTTTTGTTTTTTAGAGATTTAAGGGGCAATAAATTTGAATGTGATTGCAAAGCCAAGTGGTTGTATCTGTGGTTGAAGATGACAAATTCCACTGTCTCCGACGTGCTATGTATTGGGCCACCAGAATATCAGGAAAAGAAGCTGAATGATGTGATCAGCTTTGACTATGAATGTACAACGACAGGTATTCAGATGTTCCATCCCCGAGAGCGACATTAGAGTAATCTTTTTGTTTTTCTTTTGGACTGTCAACAAGAAGTGGGAAAAATGGGTATAAAAGTTTTCCATCAAAATTGTCTTAGAGAAATTGCTAGCATTCTACATGAACTAAGTCGATGTGGTAAGAAAAATAGCTCAACAGGTCTTTTTACTGAGATAATGTAGCTTTACAACACTATATATGATTTAGGTGTATAGGTTCACACGTCTTCAGATATATGTTGCCACACCCACCACTGAGGTATTCATAAACCTCCCCTTCTCTACCCCCTCCGGTAACCTCAATTCTGCTATCAGATTTCTAGGATTTGTTTGTTTAGTTTTGATGGTTCCTTTGTTTTGTTTCTCTTTATTGCAATAACTCAACAAGTTCAAAGGATTTTGTTAAATGCACTGATTATAATTTTGACTGCTTTTCTTGACAAAATTCAAATTTCTTTGAAGCTTTATTTATTTATTAAAAATTTATTTATTGGCCCTCCTGGTCATGCAAGGGGTTAAGCACCACACTATGAAGCTATCCGCAGCCTCTTCAGCATGAGTTCGATCCCCGGCTGGTCAGAAACCCACATGGCACGGCAGACCTCTCTGTCTTGCCTGCTGCTCCCCTCAGCAGTGTATTTCACTCAGTCTGCCTGTTCTGTTCCCCACTCTGTCTATGGTGGATCCTCTCATCCCCCGCACCTCTGGCCTGTACCCCAGTTCTTGTATGCATAAATAAATAATTTTTTTTAATTTTTTAAATTTTTTAAATATTTATTTATGCATACAAGAACTGGGGTACAGGCCAGGCCAGAGGTGCGGGGGGAGGTGAGCAAATTCACAAGAGACATATTGGGGAGCACAACATGCAGTTCTACTGAAATACACTGCTGAGGGGAGCAGCGGGTGAGACAGGAGAGGTCTGCTACGCTGTGTGGGTCAGCTCCCTGTGGGGATGAACTCAGGCACAGTGGCTGGTGATAGCTTGATAGCGCTGAGACTTTAACCCCTGAGCCACCAGGGAGGCCCCCAAAATTTATTTTTTAAGTCAGAGGATAAGCTAGCAAATTGGGAGCAAGACTATTCCCCATCAGTCTGTTTCATGGAAAGCGGATGTGGAGAGGCCTAGATTGCTGCTTCCTTGCTTCCTATTCTCTGGAGAGAATAACACGAAGTTTATTGAAAATGCAACCAGTAAATCTACAAATCACTTTTGTAGCTTTGTGTCCAAAGAGATAACGAGGCAAGCTCTAAGCAATGACAAAGTACAAATATAAGTTAACTAGTTTTCAAACAAATTCACATTGAGGGAAAAATGTAAAGGTTTGATTTAGCCTCCCAGGGCCTGTCTCTAGGTTTCAGTTTATACATTTTTCAGGATATAAGATAAAGTTAAATTCCTAACTGCCTTAACCATCACATCTTATAGAGGACAGGTGAATATCTCCCTATGAAAAGCTTCAATGGAATGTGTCATGTCCAAAGCGAGATTTTAAAGTAGAGAAGATCAATCCACAGCCTGAAGCCTGTTTACCAGACTTACAAAAATAAACATTTAGGCTGGGAGTTGATATCTACAAAGCCTCCAGGCATATTTGTAGGAGCAGCAGGAATGAGAACTCAGAAAATAGTTACAGAAATGGAAGAAACAAAAAAAAAACCCTACCAAGAGCAAAATGTCACATTTGTCAGTCCTACTGCTGCCATCCAAACAGATAAATAAACGCTCACAAAGTAAAAATGATTTCTAGATACCTTTGTAAATAGGGACTCTACAAATCCTGTTCTTTTCTCATAGAAACCTGAAAACTTATGGAAATGCCCTTGTCTCTAGTCGTTGAAGGGGGCTTACTCGCCTGTGTAATTGGCAGGTGCCCTTTTGTCAGCCAAGGCCACCAGGGGTTATTTATTATATGGTGGAACCTGCAGTAAATCAGAGGTCATAATCAATGGCATTTACACCAGAAGATGGCATTCAGGGCCGGCTGGCATGAAATGCTCAACTAGAGTTGGCTGGGGCTCCTCTCTGCCTCTTCTCCAGAGTTTCTAGAAAGTTCACTAAACGGCAAGGTGAAGTAAGTGGCTTTCCTGTTGTTCTGGTCACACCTGGCCATGGCATGTATTGCTGATCTTTGAAAGAAGGGACATGGACTCTGGAGAACCTTCAGAACTGGGAATAGTTTATATGAAAAAGCATGGTTTCTGAACTTTGAGCTTTGGGGGTGATTATGAAGATGATCTGGGCATATATGTAATATGTATTTATTTAGATTTAACCTATAGCATATGTAATATATATTTGACTTTGCTAATGAGCTTACTACTAAACTTTAGAATGTCAGCTCTCCTCCCTGGGAACAGGGAGATGATCCTTCTGTTTTTCCTATTGTTTCATCCCTTTAAGACTCATGAATGGAGTAGCTCTTGCTGACGATTTCTCCTTTCATCAATGAATGGCACCACCAAGTTGTGACCCCATCCCCACCTTGTAAGGACTAGGTCAATAAATTGTGAGTTTAGGGGGCTCCTGTCTTCTCAGATCAAGCCTCGTGTTCTGGTGCTTTCTGGAAGGTGGGGAGGAACTAAGTGAAGATGGATGGAAGGTGGAGAGACCTGTCACTGTTATCACATCCTCACTACAGATTTGGGAAGAAGCATGTTTCCTGAGTATTGCTTTCCTCTGAGCTCAGACTGTCAGAAAAGGAGAGTCAGGAGCTGTCTCACCCTGTTCTTCCCAGGGAGAAGGTACTGGTGCCGTTCTGTTCCTGGCACAGAGGTGTAATTAACACCACCAAGCCACCGCTGGGCTGTTTCAGCTCTCTAGATTAATCACAGTCCTTCCATAACCCTCTGCTTCAAGTCTATTTTTAACCACCTCCGAAATCCCTGTTACCTACTCATGATTCCTTGTGTTAGGTGGATAATTCACTAAATTCCTTAGAGGGAGCGAAGTTTGCATCCTAATTGTCCTGTTAGCTTCCCTATTTCAGGGCTGATGAAAATGCAAAGAGAAATAATGCATTAATGTGCAGTTTCTCTCCCAATAGGATCGGCATCATGTATAATTTATTTTCTGCAAGTGCTATAAATAGATATGTAAAAATCTGTTGATTCCAGCGGGAGCAAGGCCTAAATTGCAAGAGTCCCACTGACATCATGAACTTAATCCAATGTGAATGGAAGTGGCAGAGCTTTCTGCCGAGAAAGCCATTAATACTTTAACACTAGTAAATTGATGTCATAGCAATATGTGTATTCTTCGAGATCTTTCCACAGTGAATGTGCTTTTAACGTTTGAGAAAGATAAATTAAGTTGGGGATGGGAGAAGATATTTAAATTCCTGAATTCCCTCCTCCCATACACACAAACACATCAATTATTTAATTTCATCCTCTTCCATTCCTCCGCCTTCTCCTCCTCCTCTTTTTGGGAGGGGGGCTGGAGGGTGAGCAGAGGGGATTCCTATTAAGAATTAGATTTATAGTTCAGATGATTTAATAGCCTGTGTTGTTCCAAGTTGTCGGTATAGGAAAATATGAAATCAGCATTTGGGGAGAAATAAGTGAAAATACTTTCATGAAAGCCTCGATTTGCAAAATGCTCTCTATTCTGGCAGCTTTTCCATTCTGGGATTCTTTATTAAATCCCATACTTTTTGGTCTGCACTTTAAATGACCTGTAGGGTTTGTTTTTTTTTTTTCTAGCAATGCTCATGTTGCTGAGACTTAAGAGTGTAGTCGGGGACTCACCAGAACAGACATCCCTCTCAGGAGTGTCTGGAACCTTCGGCAGACTTGGATTAGACACATGTAACGGGAAGGTTTCTAGCCACTTGGTTGTAATCGAAAGAATGCAGCTGTATTCTGAGTCCTGCGGAAGTCAGACAGCACTGACAGCTACCACCCCCCTTTCCTCAGTGACCCGCGCTGAACAGAAACCAGCCGAGCCTGGTGGAGCCCACAGTGCTTTCCAGCTTCACCAGAGGCTCGGCCAGTGCCACAGGGAGGCCGGGCATTTTCTGTGTTAGCCTTTGAGTGAGCGATGCTGGTATTTGGGGGAGTTGATAGCCATTCTGTCTTCCCAAGCCTTTGTCCCAGCAATTCTCAGAGCCATTCTGTCTTCCCAAGCCTTTGTCCCAGCAACTTACTACTGTGAATGTTGTATGTTTAAAGCATGGAGGGATCGCCATGGGTGGGGCTCTGTGCAAACTCAGACCTGCACTCTTATCAGCCTCCACAGCAACCTTAGGAAATAGTCCTCACTCTCATTTTACTGATGAGTTGCCTGAAGCTCAAATTTCTTGCCAAGGTCACAGAGCTGCAGTTGTAAGGAGGATCTTGAAGCCCAGCCTCTCTTATTTCAGAGTCCAAGCTCCTCAGGATGCCTTCTCCTTTCCAGGTGCGGATAGGTGTAGCCAGTGTCCCCACTCTCCCTGAGCACGTCTCCCTGTTGGGGTGCGCAGGCAGCCTCCTCTTTGCTTTTCCCTCTTCTTGTTGTACCTTCATGCATCATCTCCCAACCTCTGCCCCCCACAATCTCAGAGTGGACCAGGGGGCATGCAGCCAACCCTCCCACACTCAGGAAGCCAGCAAGCATTTATTAAGCACCCATGGTATACTCAGGATGAAGAGAGCGACACCTGCAAAAATTAACATGTACCTAGCACTCACTTTGCTCTAGACACCATTCTGAGAGTGTGAGTCCTAATATGTGATGAGGAAACTAAGGCAGAGAGAGGTTGAGTAACTTCCCCAAGATCACTCAGCAAGAAGGCAATCACAGCTCTGGCATCTTACCTTAGATGTCATTGAAATAGACACTCTTCGAAGAGTGTCCTGTGTTGGTTAGGACAGAGGAGGTAGCCTGTTCTTCCTCAGACCTCAATTCCATATTTATCAAGCACCTACTGTGTGCTAAGCCCTGAGATAGGCTCTCTACCGGGTCTGTCCCTATCATCAAAACTGAGAATCGCAGGCTTCAACCCAAGGGAGGGGGTCCTTTGTTCTGTAGGGAATGAATTCACCAGAGAGTGCCAGGTGTAGTTGAACCAGCCAGGGTTTAAGTAGAGATTAATGCGAGAGGGAGCCAGTGCAGGGAAGGAAAGTGTAGCCCGGCTCCTCAAAGACGGTAGGAGGAGGTACTTAAAGAGTAAGTCCACAAGGCCAGGAGGCGGAGCTCAGGAGCACAGCTGGCTGTGGATCAGGCTACGCCTGGGCATGCACAGACATGTGGGCTCTCACCCTGCCCCCAAGGGTACTGTGAGGTGATCATTAGTGAGGATCTGATATCTGATGCTCACAGTCGGTGTGAGGGCCAAGTTGCCTGACAGGGCTCCCCAGTCCAGGGGTCAGTTCCCCTGTTCAAAGAGGACTGAGGGCAACACATTCTGCTGGCTCTCAATTTCTTTCATCTCTGCTGCCTCAGGCAGTACTGTTATCCCATAATGTGGTCAAGTAAACTAAGGTCTCGCAAGGGGACGTGCCCAGCCCATGGTCTCGGTGTAGGCAGTGGTGTTGGGTAGTCTGAGTCCCCACACAGTGCTGCTTCCGGTGCCCCCTCAGTGCCCCCTGCCCCTCAGCTGTCCTTCCCATGCCTGCTCCACACCCCCAACCTCAACTCTTAGCTGCTCTCACCTCCTGCCTCTATTCCTGTGCCCTGTCCAACTTTACTCCCTGCTGCGTGGCGGGCCCGTTATTCCCTTTCTTTTTTTTTTTTTTTTAAGATTTATTTATTTATTTATTTATACAAGCACTGGGTACAGTTAGAAGCGCGGGAGGGTGAGAGAATTCACCAGAGCCAGAGCGGGGAGCAGAGCAGGCAGAAGGACCAAAGTACACTGCTGAGGGGAGCAGCGGGTGGCAGGAGAGGTCTGCGCGCCATGTGGGACCCTCCCCAGGTGGCGGGGAGCAGCCGGGGATCGAACCGGCGCTGCAGAGGCTGCAAGTAGCTTCGCAACCCAGCGCTCAACCGCTGCGCCACTGGGGAGGCCCCCGTTATTCCCTTTCTAATTTGACATTAGAAAGGCTTCCAAGTCAGGGGTAGTTCTTGAGTGGCTGCCATGGGTTTGCACGGTTAGAGGCTCTGAGGACCCAGGCCTGACTTGGGGAAGCCTCGGGTCAGGAACCCTGGGTTCCCTCAGCCACGTGTGCTGTGGCTGAGAACTCACTGTCTCTGGGCTTCGGCTCCGGCCTCTGTGAAGTGGCTCAGAGCTCTGTGATTTCTCCCTTTTCTCCAAATCTGGCTCTGTTGTCACTTTTGGAGATCCAGTGACAGTAAAGACTAAGACTTAAGCCAGTGCCTAATTGGAGTCTAGCAAGTTAGGAAAGTCTGTGGATGGGAGACATCAGGGAAGGCTTCACGGGGGAGATGGGACTTGAGCAAGTGTGGGTATGGATTGGTTGGGGAAGACATGGAGAAATCCTGGATTTTCCCATAGGAATGACTTTCCTTTGCCAGTGTCTACTATCACTTTACCCCGGGTGCATTTAGCCCCCCAAGGAGCTCTCCATGTCACCACATCCCTAGCCAAAGAAATTACCAACCTTAATCTTTATAAGTTTTTAACATACTTTCTTCATTGGTTCCCTGGCCCCCAACTTACCAACTAGTGTTGCATCTAAGGTACACTCACCCTCTTCCAAGGTAAAATTGTATGTTCCATGGTAAAATTGTATGTTCCCTACTGAGCTTACTGTAGTGGGTCAGTTCAGGGAGCAACATGCATGCAGAGAACTGACTTCCCGCTGAGTGGAAGGTCAGCTCTGTCTCCACTAGACCAGAGTCTGTGTCTGCAAGTCCAGTCGATGTCCCTTCACTGCTCGTGAAGCGGGGGCACCATCAGATCCCAGCCACAGCCGCTGTCCAGGACCCAGTAAGCCCCCTAAGTCACTGCCCCGTGCCGGGCCTTTTCCCCTCTAACAAGACCAGACCAGAGGGTTTGCTTTTGTTTCTGGGTGTGTGGTGTGCCGTGTGGGGCGTTTCCTTGTAGTCTTGAAGCTGCGCGGTCATGCTTACCCCGCGGGTATCATCGATGCTGAAAGGATCCTCTTGTCACGGATGGTGCGGGCAGCGCCACAGCCAGCAGGACCAGCAGGCTCCCTTCCTCCCAGGCTGTGGTGAGAGGCCAGAAATGCACCATCTGCCCAACTAACCTGACCACACGTCTTCCTTCCCAAGGTGATCGCTGTGAGTTTCAGGAATGTTCTGCAGCATCCTCTCTGTCTTTTGAAATCTTTCCAAATTTGAGATCCTTTAGCCACATTTGGGAGCTGTTGATAGAGAAGCCGTATTGGAAGCTGCACCTTCTGTGTGACAATCCCACATCAGCCAGACCCCTTACCCAACCCTGCAGGGTGAACACACTGTGCATTGCCCCCTCCTTCCCAGCCCTGTTGGAACAGACGATCTGAAGGATAGAAGGGTAAGTTGTCACTAATCCCCCCACGTGATCTCATGGATCTCTCTGTTTAAACACCCGTTCCCAGATTTTGTCGTCCATCAGACCTTGCCCTACCAGTCGGTGTCAGTGGACACGTTCAACTCCAAGAACGACGTGTACGTGGCCATCGCCCAGCCCAGCATGGAGAACTGCATGGTGCTGCAGTGGGACCACATCGAGATGAACTTCCGCAGCTACGACAACATCACAGGTGTGCGGGGCTCCCCTCGTTTGGTGTGGCTCCAGCTCCTGGGAGCAGAAACGGTCTGTGTTTGGCTCTCTGACTTGGTTAGAGTTGGGGAGTAATAGCCCCCCAGTGTTACTCTGGGTGGATTGCCTGTAGGTGAGGATGGAAGCCCCCTGCTCCAGCCCACCCTCATGTCTTGGATTTTTTTCTCAACTTGGCCAGTTATCGGGGAAGACAGAACCCTCAGGTGATGATCCTGTTTGTGTTGGCCGTCCTTTTGGAAGGGAGAGGGGCCTGGGGGACCCGTGTGTGTTGGGGCATTTTCCAGAAGTCACGGGACAATCCCCTGGTCCTGAGCAGTCATGGCAGCCTAAGGTTGCACCCACTTTACAGGATTCCTTTGACTTCTGTTAAGCTGAATGTTGACTAATATGCTAACTCATGGGCATACACGCACACGCCAGCAGACACGCATGTGCACACGCACAGACACACACACATGCTCTATGGCTTGTTCTCACTGCCCTCTTGCCAGGTCGTGGTGAGAGTGATCACTCTCCTTTTTACTACGTTTTCCCCTAGGATATTTTCTCTGTGCAAGCCCAAATATGGGTCTTCCTGTTCAGTTGCCCACGGAAAAGCAACTTTGCGGGAAAAGTGCACGTTTTCTTTTAGTTTCACCTTAAACTTTGAGATGGTGCCCTCATTTGGTTATCTGCTTCTCTATTTTATTTTTTTCTAATTTTTTCCCATTTTATTTTGCAATTCTTCAAACATCAAAAACATCTGAAGGAATTGTACACTGAACATTTTATATGCACCCTCTGGGCTCACTGTTTACATGTTGCTGAGTTCGCGTTATCTCTATCGGGTCATCCCTATGCTTAGCTATTGGTCTGTCTCGTGTGTGTGTGTGTGTGTGTGTGCATGCGTGTGCGTGTGTGTCTCCAATAGCTCTATCTTTTTCCCTTTCCACGCCTTTCCCTTAGGAAGTGGCTGCTGCCTTGTGCTTGCTAGCAAGCAGCCCCATCTCCTTGTCTTCCCTGAGTTTAGAGTCTCCTAGTCAGAACAGTCCCTCAGGGAAGTCTCCCCCACCTCTCTGACCAGCACTGAGAAAATTATCTCTTAAATAAAGTCTGCTTCTTTTTCCTCCTTCCCATCACCATTCTCTGCCCCTTACCCTCCCTCTTAGCCTCAGAAACCTCACTTTCCTTTTTCAGTTTCTGTAAGTACTTTGTTGTGTGGAGTCTTGGCTGTGTCAGCGCCCATCACTGCGCTCTTCTAGTAAGCACCTGTGAAATTGGAGTAAGTGGCTCCCGGGCTCAGGTGTTGGGGGTCAGGCTTCATCAATGCTCCTTTTGGCTCTGTCAGAAGATCTGGGTCTTAGCCCTAGCGAGGGCCGCTGTCTGCTGGCTTTTACATAAGTAGATAAAGTCCAAATAGTCTTTGCAAGACCTCATTTGTCAAATGTGATAGCCATCCTGACCACGGCAGCGCCACCCCGGCTGTCCCCCGTGAGCGGATTTCCTTCCCGTGGAGTCAGAGCAGCGTTTTGCGGGAGCAGCCAGGAGCATCTCTAGGTAGGATTTCCAGTCGGGGAGACTCCTAAGAACCTCTCAAAGTGGCTTTGGAGCAGGTGCAGGGGTGTGGGGAGGCGGGGAGTGTGCCGCCTCACCCCTGGGGAGCAGGGCTGCTAATGGGTCTCATCTGGCAGCGCCTGGAGGGCTGAGCCGATGCTCGATGCTCGAAGAGGCCATTTCAGGGGAGCTGAGCTGCTGCCGGCCCATCTGGCCTCCCAGTGCTGAGCTCAGATTCCTGGGAGCAGCCCGGGCTCAAGTGCAGACTCAGCACAGGGCTCCAGGTGAGCCAGTCGGGGAAGCCGGTGTGGCCTGTGGACTTCAACCGGCCTGTAAAGGGAGGTGAGAGGACTCTGCCTGTTCTTTTGTGTTCCTCTTTTTCCTGCCTCCCAAGAGACTACAACTGGTGACATTCCCAGGTTCGTGTGGCCAGTGGTTCGTTCAATCATTCACAAAGATTCTTGAGCATTTACACTGAGCCAGGCTAGGGCCATGGCAGTGTATATGCCAGATTAAAACCTCCAACCTCAAGGATTTTATAATGGGAGGGAGAGAATGAAAAGGACAATTGTACTAGTAGTGTAAGAGCAGACAGTAGCCTGCTGGCAAGAGAAAGGGAGGCAGGGGAGCAAGATTTGAAGTGTCGGGGGTGAGAAGAGTGAGCTTTATAGTGTTGAGTAAAGGCCTCTTTAGTAAGGTGTCATTTGAGTAAGACCTGTGGAAGGTGAGGGGTTCACAGACAGGGGAACAGAGAATGCAAAGGTCTGGAGTCAGAGGGTATTGTTATTGTTTGGGGCGTGCAAGGCTGGTTTGATTTGAGCAAATGATCCTGTGGGAGCGGCGGGAGCTAGTGAGAGAGGTGAGAGGGGCTGATCGTGGGGGGCCTTGCTGGGCATATGAAGACTTCGGGCTTTTCTTGGGTGCTCTGCAAAGCCGTAAGTTGAGGGCTGTAGCGGTCAGAGGGGTGCATGGAAGATGCAGGTTCCTGGCCGTGCTGGTGCAGAGTAGTCTGGTGGGGGTGACACAAGGGCATAGGCAGAGCAACTAGTTCAGGGGGTGTTGCTCCTGGAAAGCCAGGACCCTGCGGAGTCCACAGGGAAGTGGTCTATGGGATGGATGTGCTGGGGGCCGAGGCTGGACCTTGCTGATTTCCAGGGATTCTTCAGCTCTCAGTCCCCTTATCTGCACTTTCGGACAGGTGGGCAACCCTGACATGAAGCCCACCTGCATCCTCTCCACATGACTACGGTGGTGTGTAGTTAGGTAAGGAGCACAGCACCAGCTGGTTTTGGATAAAACTGGCTCCAGATCTTTCTAGCTGTGACTTTGGCCAGTTTAGTTCATTTCATCTGTGAAATAGGGATTTTGTGAATTCTCATTTCAGCTGTAAAATGGAATAATTCCATGGGAAATGAATGGGGTAATATGGACAACACTTAGCACAGTGCCCGGCTAAAAGTAAATCCTCAGTGAATACTGGGATGTCAGTGGGGGACAAAAATAGATATTTGATTACCATTCCTTGCTACCATTAAGGAAAGCCACCAGCTTTTTGGCTTATGAAATCACATCGAATCTACACATCAAGTTTCCAACATATCCCACCAAATACATATTGCTCATTTCCTGTCACTTATTGATTTATGATCACACCTCACAATTCAGCCATCTCCTTTGCTTTTATTTCTTCCTCCAGGCTCAAATGAAGCCTCCTCCAGGAAGCACTCCTTGATGGTCTGATTAGAATGAAGTATCTGTCTTTTTTGTTCCCTTAGTACATGAATTTCCATTAAATACAAGTGACATTCATTGCCATCTTTTCACTCTAAGTAAGGCAACTAACATTTGTGTGCTTAGTGATTTATAAGTCTTTTCTCACATAAACCACATGACAACCTCATAACATTTATACTTACTGTCTCCATTTTGCAGTAAAAGTAAAACAGGAGCTGTCTTCCTTAACCCATAAACCCTAACAAACTCTTGGACTTCAATTAAAAACCTCTTTACGACTTTCACAAGTACAAGGATGCAGGGACCAGCAGAGAGTGGCCTGTGGGAGGCAGAGGATGAACGGGGTTGCAGAAGTAGTGTGGATTGCTCTGGAATTTAGCCTGGTCTGAAGGAAAGCCCTGTAGGACACATACACCGGCAGACATCAATGGATCCCAACCCAGAACCACTTGCCTTGAACCAGACCAAGGTAGATGCCATCCCTTATAAGGCTGTATCGACCTCTTTTGTCATCTTCTTTGATAACAACAAGGGCTGGCAGAATTTTCCAATTCTTGCCAGCCAGACAGAGGCTCTAGTGCCCCCTTCTGTGGCCCCAGTGAACTCTAGTCGTCCATCTGTCTTAAAGGGAGTGAAGGAAGCCCACGGTCATGTTCATCTCTCTCCTTTACATCTCTTCTCGCTCTTCTGTTTTGTTTGCTTTTAATTTCTGCACACTAAGTATGTTTCAGCCTCTTTTCTCTCTTCTGCACATGCACACACACGTGTACACACACACACACTAATCTCTTCTGTTAATGACAGCTCCACGGATTACAAGTGTTTTGAGGACAGAGATTTTTACAGAGCATCTGTAAGGAAGGAATTCTTCCTCCATAACCCTGGGCTGAGACAGGCAGACCCGCAGGGCATGCTGGGCAGTAGGGAGTCATCATCAGGGCTTCAGGAAGGGCACAGGAGCATGTGCTCTCAGTTAGTGTTGGCAGGGTGGATGTCAGTGAACTTTTCGAGGAGCTGTTTGATAGTTTTACCCCGGAAACCTTTAAAATGTCCCAATGTATGCCCCAGCAAGAACACTGCCAGATGATTTTTCCAAACAAAAAGATCTCTCTACTGGGAAGCACATTACTTGCAATAATGAAAAACTAGAAGTAGCTGCAATGTCCAGCAATAGGGGATCAGTTCAATGACATGGTGCGTCTGTGCACTGGAAGGCAGTTGATGTTTGGACAATGCTCGGGTGGGGTTGCAAACCCCCACAAAGTTGAAAATCCATAATTGAACTTTACACTCCCCAAAAGTCATCTCTTGGTATCTGCAGGGGATTGCTTTTAGGACTCCTAAAAGCCAATGAGTTCCTGTATACTCAATTCCCGTATACTCAGTTCCCATATACTCAGCCCTCAGTACTTGCAAATTCCATATCCACAGATTCAACCAGCTGACAACCGTGGAAGTGGAACCTGTGGATATGGAGAGCCCATAGTATTTATTGAAAGCAATCCTCATATAAGTGGACCCGTGTCTAAGAGAACCCTCAAAGTTCAAACTCATGTTGGTCAAGGTCAACTTTACTGTGTAGCATTAAAAAATCAAATTGTAGAAGATGCAAGAACACGGGAAAATATTCACAATGGTAAAGCGAAAAAAAGTAGCTTATAAAAAACCTATGTATACTGTAAGCCCAAATCTATTTTCAAAAGAGCACATTTGGATATGTGCATATAAAAGATTGAAGAAACATGGTATCAAGTTCAGCATTTGCAGTGAAAGTGATTTTGATTTTGTTTTTTCCTTTGTGTTTTCTGGTAATTTGGTGGTGGAGTATAGAATGGGGTCAGATTACCTGGATTTGAACACATACTGGTTGTGCACCTTGTATTAACTGTATTCTTTTTGGCTGTTTCACTTTTTTTATAAAATGGAATTGAAATGATAGTGACAGTAATAGTACCTGCCTTACCTGATTTTGCAAGGATTAAATGAACAAATACATGTTAGGTGCCTATTATAGTGTTCTTCATAGTATTCGCTTTGTGTGACCATCACTATTTTCAAAATTTGCTTTGCTGAACATTTAAGACTTTTATATTTAGGGGAAAAAGGTAACTGTTGTTTTCAGCAAAGGAGAGGGGCCAGGTACTTGTAAGAAGGGCAAAACAGTGGTAGAGAAAAGTAAATACCATTCTAGAAACTACCTATCTGCCCCCAAAGTTAATACTAAGGACAGAAATTGGGTAATTATTCTTATAATTTACAAACCAAATTCACTTTGGTCCAGATTGCCTAGAAAATTAAGGGAAAGCAGTAACTTTTAATTGAATGACCTACGTGGAGGGCGTGTACCCTGAGACATGGGTGGCCCTAATGCTCGCAGACTGGAATGGGGAGGTTGGGGCTGGGGGAGGAGGGGCAGGGGTTGGTGTGCAGAGTGGGAGAGGACTCAAGGAGGTGGCTGGGGCAGGAGAGTGTCAACTGAGAATGATCCCCCTTTCTGGAAAAGTTCTAATTTTCTGACTTTGTGATAGATTATTCTGCAGGCGTCTGTGCAGTGCTTGCTAGGGCCAGTCACGAAAGGGGGCAGATAGGTCTTTCAGTTGTCGGGACAATTGCTTCAATTATCCAATCACGATGCCTGCTCAAGATGGACCACCCCCTGCGTGTGGGCGCTCTGGGCCGCAAACACTGGCCAGAAGGTTCTCATTTAGTCTTTATAGCAGCCCTGGAAGTCAGGGCTGGCAGCGTCTCAGTCTCATTCTGTAATCACATTGCTCATCCCACACTTCGGACAGTGACTGGCCGCGTATACAACGGTAGTCCCCACATTTATACAGAGATGCAGTCTAGTATAATGGATACTTGCTGACCTTGGCACAAGGATGAAATTGCCCAATAACACATTCATTTCTCAGAGCATCACTAAGATGAGGAGCCTGTGCAGACTTGGGTTTACTAGCACAGAGTCAGGAAGCTTCCAAGCCGTAGGGCTGTGTTTGAACCCTGGGCACCAGGTTGAGAGTTGCAAGCTATGACACTACGTTTTTCTGCCTCTGCTTCCTCTGGCTCTGGAAACCAAGCGAGGTCATATGTCTTCAAGAGTCCTCATGCTTTCTCCCTCCCGCCTCTGAGTGCCTATTCTTTCCTTTCTACCCTCCAGAGAAGATGCCCATGTAACTGCCACATTCTGCCCTGTGGCATTTGGAAACACCTTTGCATGTTAATGAATGTCCTGAGTAGGGCACCTGCCCCCAAAGACGCCAGGTGACCCGCTCACCTATTTCTATGGTGGTTCATTGGAAAAGAAAATTAAAATTGAATTGTGGGAAATTATACATAACGTGAAACTTGCCATCTGTAGTGGCAGGAAGTCCACTGAGAGGTTTTCTGATACAGAAGACCGGGTAAAGGAGGAGTCCTGGAGCCCTCGGTGGCTTTTGCAGGCGTCTATTGGCTGGCAGGCCTCCCAGCCCCCAGCAACTCTTCACTCTGTCTGGGCTCTCCGGCCTTCTCTTGTGTTCTCTCTGCTTCTCTCGTGGTTCTTCCACTGGTGTCCCCGTGATGCCACCCTTATAAGCCCAGTCGAATCCCATCTACCTATGCCCACACCCTACTCCAGGTGCCCGCCATCAGGCATGCATTCAGGACCACAGGGATCCATCATCTATCCTGATGGCGGGAGGGCAGAAAAGCCTGATATCATTTACTTACCCTATACCATCTGAACCATTTTTCAGGGTACCATTCAGTAGGGTTAAGTACCTTTATATTGTGGGGCGTCCAGTCTCTGGAACTCTTTTCATCTTGCAAGACTGAAACTCTGCCCCCATTAAATTACAGCTTCCCCTTCTCCCCTTCTCCCAAATCCAGGCAGCACTGTCCATGACTGACCGCTCCTGATGCTTCCTATAAATGGAGTCCTGCACTGTCTTTTTGTGCCTTGGTTGTCTCTCATAATGTCCTCGACATTTGTGTTGTAGCATGTATCAGAATTTCCTTTCATTGCTGCACACAATTCCATTGTGCATATGTCCATGTTTATTCATTGTCCTTCGACTGAGACGTGGGTGGCTTCCACCTTTAGGCTTTTGTGCATGGATATGACTGTTACAAATATCTCTCTGAGACTCTGCCTTTAATACTTTTGGGTAGAGACCCAGAAGTGGACCTGCTGGATCCTGTGGAAATACCAGGTTTCATTTTTCCATGCACCACCATACTGTTTTCCACAGCCAACGCCCCATTTTATGTTTCTACCTAGCATCCACCCCGGGCTCCCACAACACTGTGGAAGCACAATTCCCTGTGGCTGCCCTAACCCCTCTCCTTTCTTCGGGGCGCAGGTCAGTCCATCGTGGGCTGCAAGGCCGTCCTCATCGACGACCAGGTCTTCGTGGTGGTGGCCCAGCTCTTCGGGGGCTCCCACATTTACAGGTACGACGAGAGCTGGGCCAAGTTTGTCAAGTTCCAAGACATAGAAGTCTCTCGCATTTCCAAGCCCAACGACATCGAGCTGTTTCAGATTGAGGAAGAGACATTCTTCGTCATCGCGGACAGCTCCAAGGCGGGGCTGTCCACGGTGTACAAGTGGAACAGCAAAGGCTTCTACTCCTACCAGTCCCTGCACGAGTGGTTCCGGGACACGGACGCGGAGTTCGTGGACATCGACGGCAAGTCGCACCTGATCCTGTCCAGCCGCTCCCAGGTGCCCATCATCCTGCAGTGGAACAAGAGCTCTAAGAAGTTTGTCCCCCACAGCGACATCCCCAACATGGAGGACGTGCTGGCCGTGAAGAGCTTTCGGATGCAGAACGCGCTCTATCTGTCCCTCACCCGCTTCATCGGCGACTCGCGGGTGATGATGTGGAATAGTAAGCAGTTCGTGGAGGTCCAGGCCCTTCCCTCCCGGGGGGCCATGACCCTCCAGCCTTTTTCTTTTAAAGAGAATCACTACCTGGCCCTGGGGAGTGACTACACATTCTCCCAGATCTACCAGTGGGATAAAGAGAAGCAGCTGTTCAAAAAGTTTAAGGAGATCTACGTGCAGGCGCCTCGCTCCTTCACGGCCGTGTCCACCGACAGGAGAGATTTCTTTTTTGCATCTAGTTTCAAAGGGAAAACAAAGATTTTTGAACACATAGTTGTTGACTTAAGTTTGTGAAGGTGTGGTGGGTGAATTGAAAGGACGCGTAGCACTTTCATGAGACGTGAAAGTAGACATCAGGCAGGACCCGGGGTGGGGAAGGAGGTTCAGAGCACTAAAATTTGGGGGAAAAAAAAAAGTGCACTGGGGAAATAGTTAGGCATTTTCAAACTTTTAGAAGTCACCTTTTAATCAGGGATTGCATTTATTGGCTAACTGCATGACATGTCCATTCTGCCACTTAAAAAGACATCGTAAAGCCTGTCATTCCTGAGAAAAGAGTACAGCATTAACTCTCACCATCTAGGAAAATGATGTGCTTTTTGTTCTTTTTTTTTAATGAAGAAGGAGAAAAATCGGCTAAGATGGGACAGCTCTTATAATGAAATAATAATAATAATAAAATGACCAAAACAAATGGTGGGCCCTTCTCATTCCATTTTTGCTATCTTTTTGGTAAGAACGCTTAACACCAAAGTCCGTTGAAAAGATTTGCTGATGATTAGCTTAAAAATCGGATAACACTCAGCGATGCTATTTTGAGCCATCCCAGCCTTTCTGAATCTCCCAGCAGATTAGAAGCTGCTGTGATTGGCTCACATAGATGTCCATCACAAGTCTGTTCATAAAACAATGTCTGATGTTGCTCCCTCTGTCTCAGAGAAAATGATCTGCTGACACATGTGAGGCGAGGCCCGCACAGGTCCACACCAGCTCAGGAGCATCAGAGAGGAGTTTCCCCTCTCGCTTATGGGGCAAACCTGTCCCCCGTGGAGGCCAGAGCAGTGATGCTGGTTTGATGCTCCATGACTCATCTGCTTCTCCGAGCCCGGCCTCTGAGTCTGTGGGTGACCGGCAGACAAGATGAAGACCAGTGCTTTGTATTCCATCCTTCAGAGCAAGAGGATGGGTATTTCCATAGCAGGAGCCTTTGGTAGAGTTTTTGAAGTGAGATTCCGTGAAGTCAGACTGCACACAGTCGGGGTGTGTTCTAAGCCCAGAGGTGGCCCTTTGAGGTGCACATGTCTTTCTGGGCAACTTAATATTTCAAGTCAGTGATTACCAACCTGACTGCCTGCCTGCCCACCTCCCTGCTCATCCCACAGGCCTGCTTCATTGATTTGCTGATATTTCTGCTGCCAGCGCAGCCCTGGCAAAGGTGTGGCACCAGACTGAAAAACTAGGATACCCACGACAGCAGAGAGCCCCCTTCTGTCCAGGACCTCAGCAAAGGAAACCCCCAAGTACCACATGCTCACATGAGGCCACGTGCTGGCCTCATCCCATCCAGGTGTATGTGTGGGGGAGGGGGGTGCTGTTGCAGGCTCATCCATAGGGGTCAACTGAATCCCACAAACTGGGTCTGCATTCAGGGGGTCAGGTGGCCTGTTTCAAACCATCCCTTTCTGGTATGGACCCTAAGGAAGCTCTTGGGGTCTGCTTCTATGGAAGATTCCAGGTGGATGTTAGCTAATCAGATACTTTCTCTTTATAGAAAGTACTTTCTGGCAAGTACTTTCTCTTTAGAGAATAAGAAGTAAGCACATTTTGGAGAGGAACTACTAGAATAATCCAGCCACTTCTCTTCTAGCCATGAAAGTAGACTAATCATATTGTACTGTATTATTTTTTAATAATTGTTTGCTAGTCGTGAGTTGGTAGATGTTTTACTGCAAACATAAATGTGTTGTTTTCCTGACTTGAAGCAATGCAGATCGAGGCAATAAATAGCACTTAGAGAACCATGGCTTGATGTCACAACAGTACCCTTGGGGGCATTCTGGGACTACACGCTGAGGGCATCGAGCCTAGGACACCAGGGATTTTAATGAAATACACCCACGCATAATAGCTTCGCTGCTTGGAACTTTCCTACCAAGCTCTGACCCAACAGTAGAAAAGTGGTCTATTTTCTTTGGCAAGGCACAGTCCCTCCTCTCTGTCCTCTTGCCTTCCTGGCTCATTTGAACTGGTTAAAAGTGCCCAGATGCCCACGTTGGAGGCTGCACGTGAGATGTGCTGTTCTTCCTCTAGACATCAAGAGGGGCTGCCTATCCCTCCTGGTGCATGGCACCCCCCAGACTAGCCTAGGTGGAAAAGTGGGCACTTGGACAACACTGGGGACATCTACACAGCCCCAGAACCTTCCCTAGGTGGGAATGATGTCCCTGCTGCCGGTCCTTACAGAGAAGGTAGTGGGGCCTCCACTTTACAGTGCCAGCCTCCAGCCTCCCAGCCTTGCTGCAGGGGGGACAGCAGGTTGCCCTCTGACGAGGCAACACAACCATTTCCTAGAAGCTGTGGACCAGGCAGTGCAGGGTGCTGGGCTGCCCATGGGGGGCTTGCTGAATCCAGATGAAGTAGGTAAGGGTGAAAGAAAGTTCTAGAACGACTGGAGCCAGGGATGGGTGGGATGAGAGTGAGCGGGTGGGTAATCCACTTGGCAGCCATTAGGTTTCTTTCTCTTTTTAAAAAATTTTGAACATAACAGAGCCTGCAATCTACATCACCCTCTGGCTGAGAGGAGGTATTCGTGCTGCCTGAATTACCGAAGGGACAGGGATGTTCTTATTGTGAGCTGGTAGAAGCTTTGCTTCATTAATCTTACTGCTCCATCCCAAGAATCTCTTAAGTTTTAAACAATTTCTGCAAGAAACTTTCTTCCAGTCATAATTTAAGACCAAAAACTAACAGTGAAAACCCAGAGCAGAGGGTAGAACGTTAGGAGTGCCTGTTCCAGCTTCATGTCCTCACTGCTGGTTATCATCTAAGCTTTTTGTCATCTTGGTGGGGAGGCACCCCAGCTGAGTTCCTCCACATAGCCAGGGGGCCCAGCGACTCAGCCTTAAAGCAAGGATTTGCCCCCAGGGGCATCGGGTCTGTTGGAAGTGGTCTTTTATGCAGAGAAACATGACTGACTCGGGTGTGATGGGTCCAGGATATTGGACAATGGATAAAAGACCATCTCGAAGTTTGGCAAAGCTTTCTGTTTCTTCAGTGTTCATCTCATTTATTCATAAAATAGTTCTTCCATTTAGTGGAGACAGGTGTTATTCTAATTTCAGAGAGAAGAGCTATGTCAATCTCCTGTTCAAGATGGTCCAGGAGTGAGTGGCAAGGCTAGAACTTTCCCTCTGATCAAACAGATTTTGCACTTACTTTTCATGACACTCTGTCATGCCCACCATATAAAGGCTTTTGTTCATACGTAAATCATGATTTTGAATAGAGAAGCACTTTGGGATAAAATTTTAAATTGCAACAAGACATGTATAGCTCGAAGGAAAATAGTGCTAAATAACTACCATTTAATCAACAGAGCCATTGAACAAACATCATGGAACTGCTTCTACATGTGAGGCTTCACACTTAAAAAACTTTCCAGAAGTTTCAGATAATTTTCCCTTCTAAAGAGGGTTCCTAACTGGCACAGTTCCCCACCCCACCACCCCCTAGGGCATTGGGAGGGATGGTAAGGTTGAGACACATCTGGTTCTTGTCACAATATCCACAAGATAAACAAGATGAGTTCTATGAGGGAAAAGCTCAAAACTTGGATGCACGGTTGCTGATGAATTGTTCCCGGCCACAGTCAGCCTTTGGGGACCATGCTGGAAATGGCAGTGTTGCCTTTTTCTTCCCTGTGGAGTGAGAGGCTGTGTATTTTTAGGAAAGAAATCAGTGTGGGATGCTGGAGGTTTGGCTGCCAGGAACAGTGATGATGGAAATTCCTCCAGCCTGGGGTATAATGAAAAAGGCATGAAGGTTGCTGGAGGGGGGCTATTTACATGCCACCTCATGACAATCTCTAGCCATTTTCCTGATGCTTCTATAGAGGTGTCAGCCCCTCGTCTGCAGATTTGGAAAACAGTTCTTTCATTAGGCAGTGGTCAAAGATTCTGTTAAACAGAGCCCTGGAGAGGAACACATTAATCTAGATGTTGATGAAAGGAATAGAGTGATTCAGATTTGGGGAAAATTGTAAAAGGAACTGGCAGGAAAGCAGGGCAGATGGCTATATAGGAAACTCTTTGGGGGACATAGAAATAAACAGGAGGAAAAGAAAAATCATAATTTCCTTTGCCTCAGTCAGGCCTACTTGAGGGTGGAAAGACCAGGCAGATTAACAGCATCTCAATTATTAATGAACAGAGCCAATTGTAATGCTAATTAAAACAAGAATTTTATTGTAAAACTACGGGGGTCTTAATTGAAGCACTCTTATCCTTATGTTATTTCATTGCTATGTCAGAATCTACCTTTTTCCTTGTAGGGAACTGTGCATTCCCTATCAATCCCCTTGACTATCAGGAATGTATGAGAACTGTGATAAAACAGGCCAATATGCTATTTGGCACCATTTTTATGTATTTTGAATATATAACTTAGGTAAAATACAAATAGTTTATATGTATATGAGAGCAAATTTTACAGTATGTAAGCTCCAGTGAATGCACTTTAAGGTTGAATATATATTTAGCTCTTTCATAAATAGAGTTAACAAACAAGATGCCTCTTAATTCAATATATCCTGTAAACCTGTGAATAAAAAGTAGCTCGTGCCTAATATGGCTTTGATCTCTGGTCTGCTTCAACGTGGCTAGGTCCACTTGAGCCCTAGTGTTGACGGGTTGGCTGCCTGCGATGGGCTATTGAGACAGTGGAGGGCATGCCCATTTATCTTTGTGGCCTGCTCCCTGCTGCAGTGCAAGATGAGCACTGCAGAGGCCAATTACTGCTTCTACTTGCAAATAAAAACATCACGTAAGGAGTTTACATCATAATCTTTACAGAATGACAAAGAACTGAGCATCTTTGAATAAGGAGAGGATACTGCACAATCTCACTGGTTGGGTTGAACCACGAACAATTTGAGGACAGGCCTCTTGGTGTGTCTGCATGTCTGAGATATAACCTGGTACTTGGCAGGCTCGCAGTAAAAATTTGGCCCATGTGTCTGTGTCTTTAAGATCCATTTTGTTTCACTGGACAAATGAGGGGTCAAAAGCTCAAATTACATATGAGTATGTACCTACTGCATGCCCAAGTACTTTGATAATCTATGGGACTTTTTAAAAGTACAAGAACAGAGTCCTTGCCCTTTGGGAGATTTACATACAATCTTGTTAAGAGGAAAAGTTATAATTGCATGAAGCTGGAGTCCCCATGTAAGGTCTAGCTGACTTTCTATGTCAAAAAGCAGTGTATGACTAATGTGTCATGAGGAAAACAGAGGTGATAACCAAATATTTCACTTCCGGTAGAGCATGGCACAGAACTAGTTTTCTAGTGTGGTGTCACAAATCACTGCAAACACAGTGGCTTGTAACAAAACACTTGCATTATTTCAAAATTCCGTGGGTCGGGAATCCTGGCACTGCTTCCTTAGCTGGGCCCTCTGCTCAGGCACTCTCATGCTACAATCAGGGACTTGTCTTCAGTGTTTTCTGATTTGGAAACTCACCTGGGAAAGATCCACTTTCAAGTTCATTCAGGTGGCTGGTGGGATTCATTTCCTTGTGATTATAAGACTGGTGCCCCACTGTCTTGTTAGTGGTTGAGGGACTTCTCTCAGCTTTTAGAGATTGCCCTCAGCATCATGCCAGTGGCCTTCTCCTCCCTCAACATAACTGTGGGCTCTTGAAGGTCATCAGGGATCATAGGTATGACATCACAGGCCCTCTCATTTAAAATGAGGGGATTATAAGGACATGACCTATGAGGAGAGGGTCTGGTCACTTTCAGACATGTCTGCGCAGGTGCCAACCGAACAGAATGGATGCCCAACTCATCAGAATACATACTAACCATAAGCAACCATTGACTCGGGCCCGGTCCATTCCAGTAGGATGTGAGCTGTGACTATAGAAAATAAGTTCATAGGAGAAAAGGTTAATTTAGACTGGGAAGTGACTTTTGATCAGGATAGAGGAGAGAAGGATCTGGTTCCTTTTCATTATTACTTACCTTTAAATCATTGTTTAAGTACAGGAAAGTACAGGAAGTACAGGAAAGAACTGAATTTTTCCAAACCTGCAACTCAGAAGCTTATTAATCCCAGTATCTCAGTGTGTTTCTTCTTTTTTTTTTAAAGATTTATTTATTTACTCATTTATTTATTTATACAAGCACTGGGTACAGTCAGAAGCGCGGGAGGGTGAGAGAATTCACCAGAGTCAGAGCAGGGAGCAGAACAGGCAGAAGGACCGAAGTACACTGCCGAGGGGAGCAGCGGGCGGCAGGAGAGGTCTGCGTGCCATGCGGGACCCTCCTCCGGTGGCCCGGGAGCAGCCGGGGATCGAACCGGCGCTACAGAGGCTGCAGGCAGCTTCACAACCCAGCGCTCAACCGCTGCACCACCGGGGAGGCCCGATGTGTGTTTCTTCTTTCACCTAAAATGCTCTGTGTAAATTAAATTGCTCAGTCCTGACCATGTGCCCGTTAGCGAGGCTAGTAGACCTACTTTCTGTTTCTCAGAGTGCTAACTACAACTATCTAAGATTTGGCCACATGAGTAATGTGTCATGTTCATTGATTACCTGTTCTTGCAATTAGTTTTTCTACTGGCTTCCAGACAGGACAACTCTTTACTAACCAGGGTCTCCTTGGCACACATGACTTTTTCCAATAAAGTCAGAGCTGAGACTGAAGGCTTGGATGAAACCCACCTCTTAGCCTCTTGCTAAACTTGAGCTTCTCCTGCCTTCAACCAGAAGCAAACCAAGGCAACACAAGAAGTGAGGTCAACAGCACTGGACATGGTACTTCAGGATCTCCTGCACCTTCTGAAGGTGAGCCCTGAAGAACATTCTCCTGCACACACC